TGCTCCACAGGCTGTGAGGAAATGCATCGCAGTCAATGGTGGGAAAAACGTCTGGGTCCTAGACAGCAATTTTCCCACCATTGACTGGCTGGAATATGTTTAGACTGTGGGGTAAAATTCAAAACTGCTTCTGCTCGACATGGCGGAGAAGCTGCAGAGGGATGTTTTAACACATGGGGAACCAGCTGTTGACGTGTCTGCTAATTGGAAGTTTATTTTGGGCCTCGGGGGGGAAACATCTGAATTGGTTACTTTTTTAGTGATCCGGGATCTCAGTGGGATTCGCCCGGTTAAATAAAGGTTACTAATACAACCTTGCATTTCAGTTATGATTAATTAAACACAATTATAGCTGAGATTAAAGAGGCAGTTCTTTAGCCCAGTGGTCACTAGGGGTGTAACAATACATCAATTTAAATCAATATATCGATTAAATGATTAATGATGCAATTATATCGTGGCAAAACTAAAGCGTCGAATCATATCGTCATCTTTAAAATATGCTTTTATTTTGAAATTCCCAAGGCACGTCTGTGTCACCGTCTCCGTGCGCGGCGGCGAATCTGCGGCCACCTCAGCAACACGGCAGACGAGGCAGGTCGTTTATTTTATTTTTTTCATTAATTAAGAATAGTTTTTTTTTTTTAAAGGCATGTAATAACAGAAATAAAATGGTTACATCATATTTTAATTGTTTTTGTAAATTTATTTATATGTAAATGAGATGGGCATTTGATATCGCAATGTATCGATCGCAGACTTGTGAATCGAATATTGAGAAAAATCGTATCGTGACAGAATTTGTGATATTGAGAAAAATCGTATCGTCATACAAACAAATCTATATAAAACCGTATTGTGGTAAAGCTGGTGATTTACACCCCTAGTGGTCTCCAAAGTTGGGGTTGGGTCTCCACTTTGGTCCATGAAACACTAAGATCTACAGGAATTAAATTAATTGAAATATATTTGCTGATACCACATTTAGTCTTAATAGTTAAAAAGATAAAAACGGTCTTAAGT